CGGGTTACAGCCTGATTCCTAATTGGTCGTAAATCAAATCTGCGCCACTAAATAACTACTCGCTCGAGGCGACAAAATTGTAAATTCTTTTCGATTGACGCTGCACCAGTTGAGAGGACTTTCAGTTATATTTCTTTTTTTTATTGCGGTGCAACAATTCCTTTTTGGGAATTGCATCGGGGCTGCAAATGTCGGATGTATCCTCCTGACTGTCATCTTCACAATCTAGCATCATGGCAAGATCGTTGTTTAAACACCGTTATGTTCCAATTTGGAGCACCAATTCTTTTGGTTGTTTCAGAATTTGGAGAACCTATTACGTCATCAGCGTTTTTCGATTTTAGTTTTTGTAATTCATTTTTAATCCTGTCTTCTGTGACTGGTTTGAAAATGTGCGCTTATAGCGAAGGTTGTGAATAGGAATGAAAATTTCGAAGAAAATTCTGTTTTGAAAGTCGTGGCTGCCAGCAGAATTAGCTTAAAATCTTGTTATTTCGTTAAAAAGGTACCCCGTTTTGTATAATAATTTGAATTATGGAATAACGGACGATAAAGGTCTCAGATTTGCTTAGTTCCCGGGTGAATTCTTGGAAAGGTTCACCTGTAATGAATACCTTGTAATTAGTTTTTTTATAAGTTAGCTAAATTCGGCTTTTCCTTGTTGCAGGCAGCCACAATTAATTACTCACCGCTGTCGGTACCACAAGCCATCAAATCCCTTTTGTTGTTCCATTCCATGCACTCAATGTGTTTTGATATATTTTTTGAGGCGAATGAACGCAAATTTTCAACATATGTATCGTTAGTACTATTTCACATTGTCGCTGAAATGCAAAAAACCACAACTAATTAAATTTTTGCATTACCTAAAACGATGTGGGGACTTATGATTCGATGAAATGCATCATAATCAATCAAAAAGTAAATTTTGGATTTTTAGTTAGTTCCGGCTTTTTGTATTTTAGCGCCAATGTGAATAGAGCCCTTTCCATACTATACTAACCATATATTACATACCAAGTCCCACTCCTCAATAGATCACAGCGAACGGCAGTGCGCGCGAGTGACGAAAGCAGCCACAGTAGCATGCTGAAATGACTCGCTTATATATACACGAGATTTTGAAGTTTTTATCCAGACGTCCAATGGATATGTTTGAGATATCGTTGGAAAGGTCTTGCTGAGTGTGTCCAGAAAATGTATTCAAGCGATTAACCGGATTATTAAAAATTAGGCTAAAGTGTTGCGAAACAAAAAACGTTTTTTTTTGCTTTTGCCGGTTTATGGGGGCATGTGGGCACACCCAACATATTTAGTGTTATTCTATAGGCCAATACCTTTCAAACGATACCTTATATATTAAGTTCCGGCCACTAGTTGGAAAGATATAGAGGTACATGTGTTTTGGTTCGTGTCTCCACTACGAGATGCTTTGGTATGTATGTGGCGTCTGTACGTACCATCATTTAATTTTTTTCAAACTTTCAGGAATTAAATTACAAAAAAAACTAAGATGGTTTTGTTCCAGGATGTTTTGATTCGTATTCCTTTGTGGGCGTGGCTGCTGCCTGAATTTCGAAAAAATGCAATTTTTTAAACTACCACTGAGGCCGCACTACTCAGTCCATGTCATTCATGTGTATATCAATAGAAGGTCCTTCAAACAAGCTATTTAACGCTATATTTTTTGTTTATGACATATAAATACGTCAAACGTTTTCGCCTGAAAACTAAAAATCTGGCTGCTGAAAATATAGATTTCGAGAATTTTCTCAAAAACTGGTCAGTCGATTTTATTCTTGGTTTCCACAAATCTAGGCCGAAACCTTAGCTTTCATCTGGTGTATAGCTTATATCTGGAAAAACTCTTGTTGTGGAGATATTACGCTTCAAATTTAAAAAATGTCGGGAAATTTTCCGCGAGTTGACAAGTTGAAGGATGCAGCTGTGCTAATCACTTCGTACATGTCTAGGAAACCAGAATTTGTGTGTATTGTAGAGTTTTTCCAGTCATATGCCGAAATTGTAACATTTTCAATGTTTTAATTGTAGTTATGTACACAGTATTTAACTATGCCACATGTGTTTATCACCAGCACTTAACCTACCTGGGAAGACGCGTACAATATTAGCTACAGTTGTACATAAATATATATGTATGAATGCATTTAGTTCACCCAATGTGCCGCTACTACTTACATACATATG